CATATGGAGTAATATGTATATAAATAATATCCAGGGCATGACGATAGCACGGTTGTTGGTGTCAGACAGAGGTAGATCTCTGTCCTCCTACTATAGTTATCATTATGAGTCAATTATATTGCCGGCTGAAATTCTTCTTCCTCCTTCTGCTGCACCATTCAACATCGCTGCAAGGAGGAGCGTGTCATTCATTTTCCAGAAAAGGGGCTACTATCTGGAAGGCTTCTTCAGAGGGAGGAAAGCAGATAGATCAATATGATTTTCACTTTGAGTTTCAAAGATTGCTATAGCCTCTTTCTCTTCATTCTGTCTGATAGCCCAAGTGCTACCTTCTAAGTGAATAGACCTCCTCTGCTGACAGCTGTGCAGATCTTTCTCTATTCTGTTACTGCAGTAACTCATCAGTGCAACATAATGAGTTTAAAAATTCTGTATTATTCTGAAAATAGAAGTGGTCAAAGCTTCTAGGAAGAACCTTCTGGAATTTATGATAAATAAATGCACAAAGTAAATAAAATTAAACGAAAATCCACATACTCTTTCTAGGAGTCTCAGAAGTCATCACTGCTGTCATTGCTGGTCATTATTCTATCTCTAATTTGCAAAACTCTATAGCATGCAATTATTTCATGCAACAAATGGAAAACCAGTAATGCAAACATCTCTAATTCACCTGTAATGCAAGCATTTAAATCAAATAAGCTTAAGTTTTGGTGTAAAATCTTTTTTAAAATCAAAGTAGCATAGAACTCTTCATATTACATATAACATCTCTTCCTTTCCATTTTTACATCTGAGATTTACCATCTCAACTGTAAATCCTCATCAGTACAGAAGACATGAAATAGCATCCTTTATCCCATACACTACATATCTGACCCTTAATAATATACATAGAGAGAGAGAGAGAGAGAGAGGGACATACCCATCTGTCAAGATAATTCTTCAAGCTTAGAAAAATGGCCTTGCTTAGAAAAATGGACTACATTCAGTATGTTTTTTGTCACCATATTAATTCAATGTCCTAAAACTGATATTTCCTTAACACAGACAATGGTGTGTCTGTCCGAAGTACATACTTTGAGTTTTAGCTGGAATCATTTTACATTCACAGCTTTCTTCTCCATATCTTTTGTGCCACAGAGGATTACCTTCAGTAATCTTAAAGATTAGAGAATCTCCTTTAGCTGCAGGGACTCAGGTAATGAGCCTGGCTCTCACACCAAGGACTTAACGGCACTGTTGCGTTTTAAGCAAAATTTCATATTGAAACTATGTGAAGGGTTACGGCCCAGAGTCTGAATGTCACGAAAAAGCTAAGAAAAATAACACTTTAATCTTTTTGCATGGTTATAGATGTCATTAAGGAAAATCGTGAGACATTTTCTAAAATTCCTTATTTGTTTTACCTGCTTTTAAAAGTCAAGAACAGCAACGTCCTTTTCCTCTTGAAAGAGCCCAAATCACTCTCAGTCCTTTTAATTCCATCCTTTGATTTGCACTGAGTTGATGTATATTCATAGACAAAAAACATCTAAAACAGCTATCTCACCCTCAAGACATAAATCTCAGCCCCAGGATTTCTCAACATGAAAAGATTCTGATGGCCACTGGAAACCATAGAAGCTTTTGATATCAGTGTTCTGGTTAAATTCAAGCTTGAGTAAGTACATTCTCTCGATCAAAAATTTTTTTCCTACAGTTTCAATTACGTATTGTACACAATAGTTAAGATAGAAAACAAAGCTGAATAATGCTCCTCTTATTCAACTACGATGTTTTCACCTCATTCAGTTCTTAAGCTAATACAATTTTTGGAATCTTTCAAATTGAAAGGTGTTATATAAATGTGAGCTATTCTAACTACAGAAGAACTCCAAAAGACCTAAAGTTACACTATTTTCTTAATACTAATTTAGAATTATATATTTTAATATATTTTATGTTTTATTGAAGGCTATCACTGTTCCCTGATATTACAAAAAAGTAGGGTTGGTTTAGCAATATAAACAAGGTTTCTACCTTCATTGTATCCTGTAGCCAGGACAGCCAGACTCCTAACTTGGAACCTAAATTAAGCTCTTAGAGATAACTGGGAAAAATATAAGCCTAAATTTCCAGAACTAGATTCCCTGACAGGTTTCCATGTTCATTTTTAAATGCAGAAGATTAATCTGAATTGATCAAGAAAACTTCAGCCAGAATAGAACTGGCAAACTTTGAGGAAGACCCAAAGATGTCAAAATTGTGGCCATCTTACCAAGAACTGCCCATTGCCACCACTGATGTTGGGTGCCTTGATTAGGTGGCAGGATTTTCCATCCCTTTTCACTTTCCAGAGACACATTTTCCAGAGCAAGGAGCGCTACTCTCAGTTATTCCTTGTGCCTGAGCTCAATGCCATGAAATACAAAAATTAAGCAGCAGCAACACTCTCCTTCAGGAGGTGCAGCTGAGGATGACAACAATGTGGCACTTATACCGGCAAAAGTCTCTCTCTCTCCATCTTGCTTGAGATTGATTCAGTCCTTCCTTCATTTACAGAACAACAGCTAAAGCAATAAAAGAAAATTGCAGTCTTTCCTCATCCTACCATCTTTCAACCCAGCAGCTGGGTATGCACTTTCTGACAGTAGAACAAAATAATGGCATCCACGAGAAATTTCTAAGGACTGAATGTTTCAGCACATTTTCCAAGACAGGCACAAAAGGTGAAGTTTCTTCAGGGACATATAAGCATTGAGCAGTATTTACCACGAACACCACAAATACTGTCAAATTACCAGAACTGAAACTTTACCTGGTAAACAATCAACTTTGAAACCTATAGTTATAATGCATTATTTAATCTCTGTATAAATCTCTCTCTTCTGTAAAATAACTTGTTTTCCAAGTTCCTTTGATTGCATGAGCAATGATAAGATCCAGTGTCTTGCCTAAAGCACCAGAGAATCTTGATATAATTGTCATCTACCTCTTACACTATATTAGCCTACCTTATAGATTCCTTCGCACCATTTCAGTGCTGATAGGACTTTCCTTTGAAAGCGATTTTTAAAGGCCATCCACAGTTTCTTCAGAAAAAAGTCCACTACTTTTTTCTTTGACTGTGAGGTCTTTAAAACAAAGGATTTTCTAGACTTTTTGTTTTTATATTCCAGGTACCAATCTAACAATAACCTGCTGTTCATTAGCTTTTAGTTCTAACATGGGAAAGTAAAAAATATATACCTCAGTTTTCAGGCTAACCGTCCTATAAGTTGTAATCACACTCCGTATACTCTCAGCTTTACCCTAACACAGCGCTGTTCAGAGAGTTTGAGCTTTCTCTAATGATGATAACGCTCTACCTTTTTATCAGAGTATTTATATGGAACCCGTTTGAATACCTGAGCAGGTCCTATGTCTCTCTAGTGCCTTTGATTCAAATAATTTCCAAAGTACTATTTATATTTTTATTGTTCTCTCATACCACACATACATCCAAGTCTCTTTGTCAACATCCCAGCAACCCTTCAACAAATCAAATTAAATGAATTTGGTTAAAAAGATAATGAGACTTTAGGAACATTAGCTTTGAAATTTGTAAAGATTCCAAGGCTGGTGGAGTGCCTCCCACTCAGAATATGTCACTGTAATCTGGCCAACTTTAAATTCCTTATACTTTTTTCTTGAAAATATCTAAAATTTTAATGAAATCGGAGTGTCTTAGGTGATTAGCACATTCTGGAGAAAAATAATATTTTTATGGCAAACGTTTTATATAAAAGAAATACTCATTATCCAAATCGCTGGCTTTAAAGAGGAATAGATTTGTAGCTTAAAGTCGCAATGTAATCATGAGTAACCACGCACACACAAAAAAATTCCTAAAATAAATAACAGTTGTTTGGTATAAATTGTCCTGCCTTTGCTACACGCTCTTAAATTTCAATCTGTAAATTACATCATTATAATCTTTGGTAGGTATTGAGGTCACTTGTACCAACAATCACTCAGCTACATAAAAAAATAGGACTTGAATTGGGTCATAACTATTTTTAGAGCGTTTGGTGGGGGGTGGAGGAATTCACTGTAGAACACCCGTATCCACTTTAACTTCATATAAACTAATTCCTGAATATTTATGAATCAAAATATCCCAGTACAATGTAATTAGTACTAAAATTCTAATACTAATTCTAATACTAATGTCATTTCTCATTAAAAACTTACACATTTAATTGCACTTACAGTACTTGCTATTTGGAAACTTCTTGCTGTAGCACCTTCATAAGCCGTTTGCAGAATATAAAACGGAGTAATCAAGTATAAGCATTAATTTAAAAACTACTGGATGGCCATGCTACTTTGTTATTATAATAAACACAATTTTAATTGAAAAAATGATAGAGTAATCCATCTACATGTTTTATGCTGATGCACAGAGAATACAAGAAATCCCAGTTAACACTAAGATGGCTAGTAGGATATTGGCTTTCATTATCTGAGTTACATTTTCCAAAGACTTCAGAGAGAATTGTCTTAGAATAAGGAGTGTTAAATAGGTCAGCAAATGTATTCTCAAACCATTTCTGCAGGAAAACCTTGCAGTGCCTTCAGTAGGCTTTGAATCAAGCCTTCAGATCTCAGCTGTTATACATTTTCTGCATGTCCTTTTCAAAAAGCAATGATAGGTCTCTGTTCTGAAAGCTAAATGTATCTTTGAGTTTTCTCTCACAAAAGATCAGAGCCCTATAAGCACCATCTGGACTGTTTCTTTGTGTGTTTTTCCTTTATGCAGATGTGGACTTCAAACACTGACTGCAAAAATCCTGTTATAGTGTATGCAGCAGACAGTGGCCAGGATCCTGATCCTGAGGTCCTTTAAGTCAAAAGGAGCTGGATCAGGCCCTTCGTATGATTTGCATAATAAAAGCACGGAGCCTATTGAGCTAGTTTATAAATGTCATAATTTCAAAGCTGTTACCTTATGCTAGGTTTCTCATGCAATCTCTTACCTCCAAGGCAGGCACCCATGGCCAATGAAAAGATTAATGGTTTCATAGGCAGGTTAACATCAAGATCTTTACTCAGGTTGAGAAGCACAGGAATCTGTGGTTTAAGAAAAAAAGATAGAGAGATACAGGAGATATAAAGCTGTTCATGAGCAGAATACAAAACAAATTTATTCAGCTAAACAACCGAAAACATCAGCAAGTTCAAAGAAGAACTCATTACTTCTTTTTATGAGTATCTATGCATCATCATCTTGTTCTGTGTTCACTTTTCCCCACTGACTGTACTAATCCCACCAGCCAAAGAGAAGGTATTCACAGTATCAGGCTAAGCTGGATCACACCTATACAAATACTCATTTAGTCCGGGCCAGGTTGATTGCTAATAAAACTGAGGATCCCTGAAGGCTACAGCTGCCTCCCACTAGGTTCTTCTAGTTCAACAGGGAACTCTCAGGGATTGTGGGCCAATTCCCCTCAATTTCTTGCAGCCTAAAGGACTTACTTATCCCCTCTTCTTGCTGGAAACAAAACAATGAGATGTACATGAGATGACCAGACATGCACAATCAAGATGGGTGTATATCATGTGTCATTATCTAAAAAAACTTCTGAATTCCTGTTAGAATCAAATGTCTTGTCGGTTTGAAAAAAATAAGCAGAGAAGATTAATAGAGCAGGCTTCGAAACTCATAAGCAGAGCTGAGTTATTTTACTTTTTAGTCTAATATATTTGCCTGTAAATGCAGATTTGGTCCACTGGGAAATATTTACAAGTTTTTATGAATTTCATTTAATCATTTTAGCAAATAAAATTAAAACAAAACTCTGAAAAAAATCAGATGAGGTTTGTAGGGAGACATAATGAACTTCTTTAGGCCAGTTGGCATAGAGCCCAAAAATCCATCAGGCAGGCTTTCTAGTAGCATCAGATCCAAATCAGATGCAATCTTCCCAACTAAAAGTAGTTTGGGAACAGCTGTTTTGAGTTCAACCTAATTGTGCAACCACTTAGTTTGAAAGAAAGCATAAAATAGTACCTGTAGAACAGAGAGGGATGTTAGCAAAGGGAGAGGTGATAATGTTTCTAAGCTGCTGTTAATGTGCACAGAGGTCTACGGGACCAAAGGAGAGAGAGAACAAATAAGAAACCTGGAACGGTGAAGGGTCAGACAGGAAGGGAGATGTGGAAATAACTGTGGTATACCTTGAAATTAATGCTTTTTCTGAGTCTGGGAATTCTAGCAATGAATAGAGTTATGACTTTCAATCCTCCAGTTTGTCATTTGAATGTATTTCACAGGACTCCCTCAAGGGTTATGATGTCAGAGATGAAGCAGCTGCTTCTTGAAAAACGTTCTCACTTTGATGAGTGATGCTCACCTTTATTAACTGTGTGTGTTCTTTTGGTATGGAGTAATATATAGGCTGAAAAATTACAACCCTTCCTTTCCCCTCCCTCCTGGCACTGGTGTTAGTCATCCCTCTTAAACTTCTAACTCGTTAACATAGTTAAGTTAATTTCTAAGCAATTATTTCTGAACTGTAGGTTGCTTGAAGATCTCTGCTTCCGTTTAAGACCTAAAGAAGAGTCACCATGCCTAATACCTTGTTTAGCTTCTGCCATGAAACACTATCATGAAAGATTTTATTTCTCCCCACAAACTTTGTTTCTCTCAGACCATCACTGGCAGAACATGATATGTGCTTCAAACTACGGCTATATTTATTTTAAGAGAATGTCCTGTTTCAACTTAAAAACACGTACATTTACCTAAGTACTGAAATCCTAGAATAAATCATCTTCCTCAATCTAAGCAAAGCATTTTCCTTCTATGTAATTTTGACCGGAGAACCAAAACAATTATTTAGTTCCTGAGAATTATTTGCAGGTATCCTGACGTACTACAGCTGTTCTCTCTCTGCAGTATACCATCCTGAACTGTGCAAACTAGCAGCACTTTTTAAATTAGACTCCTCATTGTGCCAATGCTCTGCGTAGCAAACAGGGAGAGGGTGGGTAGGTAGAGGGAGTTAAAATATTAATCCTATTTTCTTGCTGTTTAGGGTCAATCCTAAAGCTGCTGCCAGCCAGATCTCAAGTGCAGAGAAAATAATGCCATTTTCACACCCCATTGGTGAGAGCTGTGCAAAAGTAGAGCTCCACGGTCCTACCTAATTACAGCAGTATGAAGGACAGGGGAAGCAGAGACAGAGCAGAGATCCCAGGTGGAAGGGTCAGTCACGTAACTCTCTGCTAGGTACTTGTAGTCAGATATGCACAGTACTCCCATGAGAAAATTTGGTTTTATGTTTACTGAAGGAGCTTAGCTCCATGAGCTCTCAGTGGCCTGTAATCCCTACCGATTGAAGCCAAAGAAACCTCCAGAAGAAAGTCGCTTCCAACTCACTCTATCATCTTTTAAACACAAAGATACATCACATCTTTCAAGAGAAAGTGCAATTCTCTAGTGTGCTTGGATTCACATTTTTCAGTTTTTAAACCCTACAAAGTATTTTAGAAGCCAAAATACATACTTGACCTCACCAGTTTTATCATTACCTCTTAATATAACATTGATTTTCTTCCACTTAGAAAAACTGTGAAATCTTTCTAAAATCCTCCACAATAACTAGTCATCTATTTAAAAATTATCATCAGTGATGTCATCCTCCTACTGCACTGAGAGACTGCAGGGCCGGATCAGTAATCTCTGCTGCTATAAATGGCTGCTTTAGCAGCAAGAGACAAACACTGAAAAATGGCTTAGCAATATATATTTGTGTTTCCGCACTGTAGCACACAACCTAAGCAATGTATCATGTAACAAAATTGGGTTTTCCGCTATTTAAAGGAATCCATCACCACCAAAGAATAACTGTTATAAAAAGGGCTGGAAACTCTATAGACCTCTGTCACATGTTTGAATTTAGCATTTATTTATCCTTTGAAAAGAAGGGAGATTCCTAACAAGGAATGCTGCACCTCCAGTTTCAATTTTGAATAATCAGATGAAAGATGAATGCAAAACATTAACTTAAATTTCCAGTGTTTCAGGTAGAAATCTTTCATTGATCTAAAGACTGCACATTCTCTGCAAACACGGGTTATCTTGGGTGGCAAATATATTCTACTGACTTTTCTAAAGTCACTGGTGTCTAATTTTCTGGCTCTAAAACTAGGCATAATACAAACATTGTTCCAATTTTCATCCTAAGCGTTTTCCCAGCAACAAGGAAGAATCAAGAATCTTGATCATCAGCAAGGGCTCCTGAAGAGAGGTTGCAAAGCAATCAAAGCAATGGAAGTCTCTCACTGCTTGAGCGTCACCCTATGAAATAGATATATTTTGCACAGGACCATTTGCAATGGAACCTGCCTGTGTGTTTTCCCTGAAATAACCTTTAACATTCTCTGTCACTTTCATTCACGCAGTTATGTGTTAGGCATCACTTTTGCACTATCAATACCTCAGGCCTCAGTTTCATGTACTGTTATCATTCACCTGCGTGTTAAGAACAGAAATGAGAAATATGAAAGGATTAGAAGAAAACTTTCCACTGTAGGCTTCAGTGCTTTTGAAAAAGTAAGTTAGTTCTACAACTCTTTCTGATTCAAATCGTAGGTATTTACAGCAGCACTGAAAGCAAACCAAGCTAGGATACTTTGCAAACTGGGCTGTATTTGGCTGCAGTACATATTGTACAAATGCTTTTGCCATATCCATTTAGCTTATTTGGAGTGCAGCCTTTTTCATAGTTTTACTAAGCGCTGCCCCTCATCAGAGACACAAAGCAAGAGTTAAAGCTTACGAAACCTTGTGCTTCCTTCATTATTCCTTTTTCAGACAGGTAAACAGCTCCCTTATCAATGTTAGCAGAAGAACAATAATATCTTATCAGGAAAATAGCATTCATTTCTTATACCCAATGATCTCACTGAGGAGAAATCTCTGCCTGATTAATTTCTAGAAAACCTACTCGCTTTGCTGGAAAGTTCAATATTCTCTTGAATCACCCTACACTGCTGCCTGATTGGCAGGATTTAGATAAAATGTATATGTAGGTCAACAGAGCAAAGCCAAATACCCCTCACCCATTCAGTAAGACTATCTGCCTCCAGGTACTAAAGCAGAAAAACACAACCATAGGAAATAATAATTACACCTTGAAAAAGGAGAGCATCCTCAAAGACTTGATACAGAAAGGTGCTAATCATTAATCTTGATTCTATAGATGATATTATATGTATTATGTACATAGGATCTAAGCTAACACACAGAGAACAGCACAAACATCTACAGATCCTGACACATTTATGTTTACAACTATCCTAATCAAAATCAATCCTTGTGAAGAAAGTGTTTGTTTATACTATATACTGTGAAAGGATACAGGATGTGTTAAAAAAATAACAAGAAAAAAGTATATATTTTCATCTTTTATATTGATGGTGAAGTTGTATCATCAGTATCACAAGCATTTAAAAATGGATTGGGCTTTTATAGCTGTTGTAAATTACTCAGCTCCCATAGAAAATAGCATCTATTAACAATTAATAATATTAGAAATTAATTCAGACTCAATAAACATGGTTTCACAAGACAGTGTATTTCTACTGAAAACTCTCAAATCTATAACATCCTGAAAATTTAAACAAGATGGAACAATCAAAAAGAAAGGAAGGTGAATTTTAACTTTAAATGAAGGTTTTGACAAAGAGAAAACCGAAAGATTTTAGACTGGAATTACATATACCAATTACCACTAAGCTGCATTTTCTAAAATAGTGTTAGTTTTAACCACGATTTTTTGCTCCACAATCCTTGCACTTGTGGTACACAGCCCCTTTCGTCAAAAGAGAGCAGTGGCGATGGTCACATATCTCAATTCTCTTTTGCAGAGAGGGGTCTATATGACACCTTGCAAGCCACATTCCTTGCAGTGCTGCTTGGCTGCAACTGGAATGGAGGGCCTTGAATGTTTTGCATTCGCTTCTATTTTGGTACCTAAACTGCATTACTGGTATGCAGATGTGTGACCAAACAGGTAGCTTTTTCACACCTTGTTGTTACAAACTCTTTTCCAAGACTCCTC